CCCCCCCCCCCCCCCAGGATCCTTTGAAGAATAGAAAGTTCAAAAGAACAGCATTTATTTGAAGCAGCACATTTTTGTGACAAGGTGTTATATTAAAACTGTGTTTTGTTCCTTAGAATGATGCAGCCAAAGAGTTCCAAGAGAAACACAAAAATGAAATGGAGAAGATTAAAGACATGAATCTTTCAGAGTGAGTTTTCCCAAAGCAATAGTCCAAACTGCACTTATTTAAAGGGATAGTAAAAATAAAATGTACCTTATAATTTACTCACCCACAAGCCATCTTAGGTGTATATGACTTTCTTCTTTCAGACAAATCCGATCGGACTTATATAAAAAAAATATTTATAATGCCAGTGAGTGGGTGTTTCTTGTCAATTGTCCAAAAGAAGTCCAATAAAGCGCATCCATCCATATAAAAATGTCCCACATGGCCCCGGAGGGTTTATAAACGTTTACAGTTTCCACCCTTTCTCTGAGCTAATTAATAAGCTAGTTAATGACCAATTTAACGAGATGTAAAATGTTTTTAATATTTTAAAGTAATATATTTAATATAAACATTTTTCCACTCATTTGGCTGTGCGGTGCAGTTGTCCACTCTTATCCATTCTGAATTTTTCATGAAGGTACATGATTCGAGGAGATGACGAGGAATGGGATCACGTGTTGAAGAAAGCAGGACATACAGCTATTGTTAGCATAAAAAGGTAAACCGAGTAATAAGAAGCTTGGGTAGGGGAGGCTTTGTCTGGAATCATGAACTGCTATGAACTATGTATTTGACCCCTTAGTGACAAGAAAAGAAAACTGGAAGGCATGAACCAGAAAGAACAATGGCAAAGCAAGAAGATTAAGAAAAATAAGGACAAAAAGAGCAAATTTGGAAAGAAACCATAACGAAATGAACTTTAAAATTAAAAATTGAAATGTCTTTGTGTCTTGTTTCTGTGGTCAGTAGATTTATTTAAGACCAAATGAAAATATTTCAGTAAAAATTTTAAAGACCAAATTGTTTTAACACTTTTTTTTTTTCTGCAAGACTCCCCATGTATTATCAGTGAACAAACAAAGTTGTACATTGTTGTTTTTCTTTTAACCACATTTCAGATATTAACATTCCCATGGTGTAGACCTCATGTTTTTTCTGTGAAAGCTAATTTCAGAAGCCATCTGTAAAATAAATGATAATCTTATGGTGCATTACTTGTGTACAAAATATACTCATTAACATTTGACTGTTTGCTAAGCTTAGTAAAAATACTGATTTGAGAGATGGGTACACACTGCATAATATTTAGTTTTCTTTACACACAATGCGTAAACAAAGGTACTCAAGATTGCCATGCATACGCAACTAATGTTTCAATACCACTGGAAATACTTTTTTATATTGCTTTCAGAAAGCATATTTAAATCTTTTACCCATTGGAAATAACTTGCAGTGCATACTACAAAGTTTAGACGGTGTACTGCAAAATAGTAGGATTAGAATGGGGACATGTAAACTTTCAGAGCACTGAAAAGGCTGAAATCCAGTGATCTTTGTGCTGCCATGGTTTGATCTTTCATTGGTGGCTCTTTATGACACTACATTGCTCAACAACTCCTGCATTGATGAAAGAAGCGAAGATCCTTGGCGTATTTTCTTCAGGATTTTAAAATAATTATTTGTCGTTTTGCTGTCTCGAGGAAAAATAACTCCTTATGGAGATACCTGTCGTAGATCTCAGTGTGTACGAACTGGAAAAGACCAATGTATCCGTTGATAACTTGGAGAAGATAAGTGCCGAACTAAGAAGGGCCTTTACCGAGGTGGGATTTGTTTATCTGAAAAACACGGGCATAAATCAGGACGAGGTTTGTCATTTTGTGCACGTTTGTTACGAGAAGTTTTCTAGTAGTTCGTAAATGGCTGGCTATTATTCTTCTGTCCATTGTTTTAGGTGGACAAAGTTATGGGTGTTTCAAAGAAGTTCTTCTGTTTGCCAGAAAGCATGAAGAAACCTTTCAGCAGGAGCAGTTTCTCGTGTAATGGAAACCACGGCTGGGTTTCGGTAGAAACGGAAAGGCATGTCAGACTGTTCTAGCTTCAGAAGCATTACTGCTAAAAAAATCACGAATGATGGAGAATTAATGGTTTTATATCCTGTCATTTTACAGTTTGAATCCTCGACGTCACGGTGATCTGAAGGAGGCGTTTAATACAGCATCTTTGTGCTCGGATATAGTAAATACCTATTCGTGTCTTCTTCCCTTTCTTCCAGTGGTGCCAAATAATTGTACTTTTATAAGAGTTTTAATACATTTTTTGAGTGAAAATATTTAATGAGGAGTGACTTTGTATGTTGGTTTCATACGAGCCTCTAAAAGGGACATGATGGTTAAAAAAAGGATTGCAGAAAAAAAAGTATTTTGCTGCTTAATTTATGGGTTTTTTTCAGGATTATTTGATGGAAAGTTAAAAAAAACTGCATTTATTTGAAACAAATATTTTGTAACGTTATAAATGTCTTTACTGTCACTTTTGATCAATTTAATGTTTCCTTGCTAAATAAAAGTAGCCATTATTATTATTTTAATCTTACCCAAAACTTTTGAGTGTATCACGGTTTCCCTACAAATACTAAACATTTTCAACATTGATGATAATAAATGTTTCTTGTAGCAAATCGGCATATTAGAATAATTTCTGAAGGAAATTATCTTTCTCTCTCTCTCTCGCACACGCGCGCACACACCTATACAGAAATTTGAAAAAAATGTCAAATGACAGCTATGTTGAAAAACAAAACCATTCTATTTCAAATATAAAGTATTTTTTAATATGTACAACTGTTTTTTTTTTTAAATAGCATTAACATTAAGATACTTTAAGGAAGCCTGACTTTATAACCCTCCACTTTCAATGTGTTCAGAATTGGCCTTCAGAAGGAGTTGATGATTTTCGAGATGTGCAAGTATCATTTTTCCTGCGCTGTAAGGAACTTTCTCTCAGAGTGCTCCGATTGATGGCTCTTGGTTTGGGCCTGGAAGCAGAGGTCTTTCTCAGTGCACATAAGCATATTGGAAGTAAGTCGAATGAAATGCACTACTTCATCCCATGCAGTGAGTCAATGGCTGGGAGGCCTGCAAGACCTTTATGATGTGGGTTGTTTTAAGGTGATGTGAATGGAACGACACTACGGGCTCTGTACTATCCTCCGGTGAACAGCACATGTGTGAAGGGAAATCAGCTGCGCTGTGGTGAACACTCTGATTATGGGAGTATCACTTTGGTCTTCCAAAGCCCAGAGGGTGGACTGCAGGTGAATACCAATATAGGACAAGAGGAGAAAAGATTCATGTTTAATGTGGTCCTTTATCATTTAGGATAGTAATTGTATTATTGTTCTCCTCCAGGTCCTGAACCGGGCTGGTGAGTACATTTCAGCCCCCAGCATTCCTGGAACAGTTCTGATTAACATAGCAGACCTGATGCAAAGGTGGACCAGCGATGTCTATGTGTCTGCCGTAAGTTTCTTTACTAATATTGCATTTAATTTAATTGTGCAGTGCAAGCAACGCTTGTTTCTTTTCTATTGTTCTGACCCTCAGGTTCATAGGGTTTTGCTGCCCCCTGCAGGTGACTCTGGCACACGTCAGTCTTTGGCCTTCTTTGTACAACCAGATGATGAGGCCATCATTTCATGCTGTGATGGATCAGATAAATATCCTCCTGTTAAGTCAGTTGATTACCTTTTATCAAGGTTCAAGGATTCTTACGGCAAAAAATAGATCCTTAATTAAGTGAAATTTTTTGATTTTGTATGTTTGAAAAAAAAAAATGAAGTGATAATCAGAGCACAGTTGGTGAACCATAGATAATTTAATACATTGTAGAGTGGTAAAGCACAGTCAAAAAAGAAAAAAAATCCATACCTATTTCATGCTTAAAGGGTTAACTATCCCTTTAATTATATTTCTGTATATTTTATAAATTTATTCATTGTTTACAGTAGAACACTGGTTGAAAACCATAATGAATTAAAATAAAACAGCTTGAAAAAAAATCACTAGTGTTGCAGTAGTAATTCATCAACATTTTCAGAAACTTTATTAAAAGACCCTTGTAAATCAATTTAGGATTCACTTTCAAGTGAAACTAAAGCAAACAAATATTCTATTCTATTCTATAGTCTTTTCATTGGAAGTGCCGTACAATAGGAATGCTGAATCGTGGGGCATTTAACTTAACATGAAGTGTGTTTATTGCCCAGGTATATTATCAAATGCCTAAATGTAAAGAGAAATTTATCCTATGAGGTTTATCCATGTTTGTGCAAACATGGCTAAGACATTTACAAGAACAATAAAAATACATTTAATTTCTCTAAATACAAGTTTCAAGTACAATCCCTGTCCTCACAAACTATCTGCATTTTAGATAAGAGAATGTGGACAGAAGTGTGATTGTCCACAGATAATTCTGTTAACCATTTACATACTTCAGCGACCCGTTTTGGGATACCGCAATTCAATATTTTTTGTGTTTGAGAATACCACCACAATGATTTGTTTGATTACTTCAATGGAAAGCCAAGGTCTCTGCTAAGTGACAGTAAATGGTCCATTTGAATGTGAGGATGGAAATATTTGACACTACATACAACAGACAAACACATTACAGACACTGAGAAGAGCTTGAGCTGCTAAGAATGTGCGGGGAGGTCTTGCTGATGACCGTGTGACAAAGGCTGACTGTCCCCAGGCAGCATTTCCGCCGCAAAAGGTACTGCATTAATATAAGTATAATGATAGAAAATCAATATTTTGTTCCAAATGACAGGGCAAAATGCCTTTGACCAGAAAAATGTAAAATAATTACACTGACCGTTGTCCTGTACTGGAGACTCTGTTTTCTGTGTTTTCAACCGCTCCATGTGCTCTACCGCCTAAAAGACATGATCAGTATGGTAGAAAGTGTTGAGGTGAGAGAATTCTAGCTTCAAGACATTTCCCTTATGTTTTAAAAAGGGAATGTTTTAGTGACAAGATAAAAGCAGTGCAACAAAACTTTATCATAAACACTCATTTAAAAGTGTGGGGTCTGTAATTTGTGTAGATTCTTATGCGATACATTATGTAAAACCGTAACGCATTTTCCCCCAGAATTCTTTGATGAATGTAAGTTTAAACAAATGGCATTTATTTGAAATATAAATCTTTTGCAACAATATAAATGCTTCACTGTCATTTTGAGCAATGTAATACATCATTGCTTTATAAAAGTAATACTTTCTTTAAAAAAACCTTTATATAGTTAGATATAAAAAGTATTAAGCATTTCTTTTTACAATTGAAATAATTTATAGTTATTTCCCATTACAGTAATGATAGTGAGATTTATTTGAATAATGGTAATGTGAATGGGGGAAGGTGCTTAATAAATATGAAAATATTGCCACAAAAAAAATCAGAATGGCACTAAAAATAAGCTTCATCTACGCTGAACAAAATTATAAACGCAACACTTGTTTTTGCCACCATTTTTCATGAGCTGAACTCAAAAGGTCTAAGACTTTTTCTATCTACACAAAAGGCCTATTTCTCTCAAATATGGTTCACAAATCTGTCTAAATCTGTGTTAGTGAGCACTTCTCCTTTGCCGAGATAATCCATCCACCTCACAGGTGTGGCATATCAAGATGCTGATTAGACAGCATGATTATTGCACAATAACTCATATGTGTATATATAACAAAGATATATCCGTGACATTTCAGTGACCTTATTAATATCCATGACTTTTTCAGGTCTGGAAATCACACTTTGTAAATTCACTCGTATTTGGATGTTTTCCAAGACTGTGCGAACCTGTGTATCACTCACTCAGTATCTGGCTCCAAAATCAGTCCCATCTAGTTTTTTTTTAAATTTATTTGTTTCTCTTAATCTCTCACTCTCCTACCTGTTGTAGCTCCATTTTCTGGGCGTTAAGCTGTTCCTGTTGTCTCTCCAGCTCCTCTCGCTGTTTCAGCAGCTCATTTGATCTCAGGTTCAGGTCTTGCTCCTCTAGAGCCAGATGCTGCTCAAACTCTCTCAACTCTTCTTCAGTGTACATTGGATTCTGTTCCAAAGTCTCAAGAGGAAGCAGACAAAAGGACATTTTTACATAAAGAAAACAATTTTATGAAATGTACACTTTTTTATAAGTTTTTGAAAGAAATCTCTTATGCGCACCAATTTTGCATTTATTTTGTCAAAACTACAATTAAAACAGTAATATTGTTCAATATTATTACAATTTAAAATAACTATTTTCTATTTAAATATATTTGAAAATGTATTTTATTCCTGTGATGGTAAAGCTGAATTCTCGGCATCATTACTCCGGTCTTCAGTGTCACATGATCCTTCAGAAATCATTCTAATAAGATTTGCTGCTCAAGAAACATTTCTTATTATTATCCATGTTGAAAAGAGTTGCGCTGCTTAATATTTTTGTGCAAAACATTATACATTTTCAGGTTTCTTTGATGAATAGAACAGCATTGATTTGAAACGGAAATATTTTGCAACATTATAAATGTCTTTACTGTCACTATAAATGTCTTTACTGTGAATTGAATGTGTCATTGCTAAATAAAAGTATTAATTTCTTTCAAAGTAAAAACGTACAAACTTTTCAACAGCAGTGAACCTTTAGTTTTAATGAAAAGCAGTTGACAGATAGGGAAGATTTTGTTTCACGTTGACCCCAAAAGATAAAAAAAATTACCTCCCATCCATCTGGCTCTAGAAATTCTTTTCTGTTTGTGGCAGTAATAAATTCATCTCGTGAAACGAGCCTGTCTCGGTTAGTGTCGACCTATAGACAGTACAAAAAAAATGATTACTAGTGAATCATCTTTGAAATAATATCGTTAGCACAATGAAGGATTCAGTCCCCTGCTATGATGCCCCCACCTCATTCATCACATGTTCTCTCATGCGAAGTCTCTCCTCCTCCATTTCCATCATGTCATCCTCTTCATGTGTGGGATCATAGACTTTCTCTAGCTGAACGGGGTGGACACAAGCATCAGATTTAGCACCCCATAAAGCCACGTCATCCTCAAAGTACTCTATTATGATAGCTCTGAATGGAAAGGTTATTAAGGGGAACCTCTTTGGTAAACAGTGCCTCGAGTTCTTGCTCATCAAAGTAGCCATCTCCATTAGTATCTGTAAAAGCAAACAGATGTCACAGTCGTGCTGTGATATAATCGAAATGTTCAGAACAGAGAGGCTCACTGATCTCACCATGTAGGTTGAAGAATGTCTTTGGGTCAAATTCGTTGGGATCCAAACCGTCCGCGTCCTCCCAGACCTCTTTCAACTGGTCTTGACTGCCCTATTTACACATATACAGGCCAAATCTATACATTGGATGGAGACAGGTCTGAACGTGAGCTTGCAGTCGATTGTAAGAAAGGGCCGGGGTTTACGCACAAGAAATGATGGGAGAAGTCCAGCATATGTCAATAAAAAAAAAAAGACAAAAATAAAAAAAAGGAATAAAGTGTTCAATATCACAAATGAGCTTGTTTGATTTTTATATAAGTTAAAGGAATGTGTCTTTAGCTTACAGGGTGATTGATTTTGGGATGGTCTGCGTGTTTCTTCTTCATCTCTTCATAGTGTTCCTCCTCTTTTTGGCGCGCTTCCTCATCCAGTGTTTTAAGATGTTCCTTGCGTTCATGTTCCTTCGTCATCTCGTACTTCTTGAAGTCTTCATGCCGTTCCTTGTCGAAGTTTTCCAGGTCATTAGTGGCCTCGATTTGACAAAATAAGGAAACAAGCAGAGAGGAAAATGTAATGTGTGGAGACCAGCAGATCATTATATACAGTAGATCTCCATCCAACAAAGGAAAATAATTTTGAATTGCACTTGACGAACAATACATGATAAGACTGTTGACCCTCACTGATGACAGTGATGTGTGCAAATCAAACACAAAACGTTTTCTTTATAAGTTTTTGCTTTTAATTTATCATCTGAAATTAATTTTGGGCACTTAAAGCAACTAAGTTTAAAAAAAATTTTTTAACCTAAATATCAGTTTCAAAACCATTCTGATGGTACACTGCCTTCGCGAATGGCTTCGGTTTCTTTCCCTCAATCCACCCAAACATTTGTTCTGGGACTATGCAAGTGTGTCGAACAGATACAAAATTTCACAAAAAGGGCAGACTGGTTTACGGCAGCAACAAATGCACTTGTGCAGCTATCCATTGTAATTATGACAGTGCTATAGCTCCAAAGTTGTAAAAACACAAAAAGCTTTAAACAGTATTTGTATTGAGACACATGTAGAATTATATATATTATATTATATATATATTTTTTTAAATGTCACATATGTACATTACATTTACATTTGTGCATTTTATCCAAAGTGACACTGCATTCAGGGTGTACATTTTAGCAATTCCTTCATTCCCTAGGAATGGAACCCATGACATTGGGGTTGCTAGCACCATTCTCTACACTTTGAGCTACAGGGATAAAATTATAAGGTTTTTATGACAGGTGCAGTTACACATAGACAAAATGATCTGCATTTTAATCACAAATATGCTAGGAGAAACAGCTAAATCAATAAACTCACATCGTCATAAGGCAAACAAAATCTATTTATATCAAAAATCAATCCGAGCATGTCCTTAACCATCTTCAAGAAACGACTAAAAACACATCTGTTCCACCTTTATTTGACCCTCTAACTCTAGCACTTTCTATTCTATTTTAATTCTACTTCATCTATTTAAAAAAAAAACACTAGCTTTCTATTTTTTCTATTCTATCTACTTGTTTTTCTTTGTGTGTGTGTGTATAATATATATATATATATATATATATATATATATATATATATATACACCTTGCTATGTGTACTGCGTTAGGCTAACCAAGACTTGTCGTTTGCACTTATATATTGTTGCTCTTTTGTTAGTTTTGACTGCTTTTATTGTCCTCATTTGTAAGTCGCTTTGGATAAAAGCGTCTGCTAAATGACTAAATGTAAAATATTTAATACATACATTTTAATAAATATTTACATTTTCTTATTTCACCTGCCAAAAAGGTCATTTTGGGCCCTGAACGAAAATGTG